CGGCCCCGGCCCCGGCCCCGGCCCCGGCCGCGGCCGGACCTGCGCCTCCCTGGCAGTGGAGAGGGTCCCGAGCTGCAGCGGCTCCCGGCGGGGCAGCCTTATTCCACGGAAGGTAAAGATGAGCGATGACTCCTGTGAGCGCCTTGCGCAAATCGCACTAGTGCAAAAGCAGGTGGAAAGGGGGAGGCAGGCGCCCCTATTGCTCCCACCCGCAGCATAGTGGGACTGGTTTGAACGTGCCTATCCTGCAGTGCTAACCCTGCCGAGGCATTTAAATCTAACAATTGAAATGTACGACCACCCTTAAAGAACTCTGTCGGAGACCTGCTTTTTCCCTCGTTGCCGGAACCCAGCATAGCTTTTCTCAATAGTCTTTTTGGAAAGACCCTTGAAGAGACTTAAGAGACCCTCCTCTGGGGGACACCCTTTCCGAGAAAGTGCTGCACTACTTAAACCTTTTTGTGGTGGAGTTGAATTTGATTGATATCTGATACCCTGGAAACGTTTCCACCCCCACTCCCCCACCCCCTGCCCCCGCGGAGACAGTCGTTTGCCCTTGCCTAAAAGCAAAATTACCCTGAAGAAGGTAATCCAACAGCTAGGGCAGGGCCTCGCGTTACTGCCTTCAGAACGTCATGCTCATGCTCTTCCTCCACCGAAACCCTGGCTCTGGTTATCTCTCACCATATTATTTCAGGAAACTCCTTTTGAAATTATCTTTGTGACTCCTATGATCTACACAGCGGGGTAGAGTTTTCCTTCTTGCTTAAGCTTCGAAGCTCCCGGTTCCTTACAGACTAGAGCTCCCGTTCCTCAGTATGGCCTTCGCCGGCCGGGCGCACAAACTGGCCCCCAGCGTTTCCTCTTTGTCCCACACAACCCCTCTGCTCTTTCACGTTAACTACAGCACTGCCTTCCACTTCCGCAAAAAATAAAAAAAATAACTTGCCCACTCCTAGCTTTTCCCTTTTATGTTAATTCTCCTTCCTCTTTTCTTCCCTAGAGATTCTTAGCTCAATTCTCTCAGCACACCCACCGCCATCCAGCCACATCAGTGAACAAATTAAACCAAATAAAAAATTATTGGGATTATTGTGATAGTGTCCCAACTGAGCTGTCCATTTCTGTCTTTCCACCTACAGTCAATTCTCAATGTGTCAGCCAATTGGATCTTTTTAAAGATGGGTCAAATTGTGTTCAGCGCAAAATCCTTTTGCTCCCAACTGTTTGCCCCGCACTGTCCAGTAGCTTCCCATCTGTCGTAGGTGATGTGGTTTATCCCTCTCTCTTCTAATTTCACCTACTACCTGCCTCCTTGCTGTGCCTCAAACAAGCTGAATGCATTCCTGCCTCTGGCCTTTCAGTCTCCTTCTATCTCCATGGGTTTCACCTAGGAGTGATTTTGCCGCGTACAGGACATGTGGCAATGTCTGGAGACGTCTTTGGTTGTCAAACTGATGGTCACAACTGGAGAAGTGGATGCTGCTAGCATCTAGCAGATAGTGGCCGGGGACGCTGCTAAACATCTTACAGTGTACAGGACAGCCCTCCCACAAGATTATCCAGCCCCCCGTGGCAATAGTACTGATATGGGGGAACCCTCCTATATCTCAAGAGCTCCAGGGAACTACTTAACTGTCTCTCTCCTCTCACTTTGTAGGTCTTTGCTCAAATGGCACCTCAGTGGGGCCTTCTCGGATCCTGAATTGTAACCCCCAATGCTCTCTGGCCCCTGTCTGGCTTTATTATTCTCCATATAACTTATTATGTCTGACATTCTATATGTCCTACTTTTTAAAAAATATATATTTTTAAATGATGTTGTTTTATTCATTTATTTTAATTCCAGTAGCGTTAAAGTACGGTGTTATATTAGTTTCAGTGTACAATGTAGTGATTCAACAGTTCTATACATTACTCAGTGCTCATCAAGGTAAGTGCACTCTTGGTGGCTTAGTCAGTTAAGCGTCTTCCTCCAGCTTAGGTCATGATCTCTGGGCCCTGGGATCAACCCCCACTGGGCTCCATGCTCATCTGGGAGTCTGCTTCTCCCTCTTCCTCTTCCCCTCCTCCCACCCCATCCCCCACCCCGCTTGTGGTCTCTCTCTCTCTCATTCTTTCTCTCAAATAAATAAATAAATATTAAAAAAAAGGTAAGTGCCCTCTTTAATCCCCATCACCTGTTTCACCCATCCCCCACTCACCTCCCCTCTGGTAACCATCAGTTTGTTGTCTATAGTTAAGAGTCTGTTTTTTTCCTTTGTTCATTTGTTTTGTTTCTTAAATTCCACATATGAGTGAAATCATGCGGTATTTGTCTTTCTCTGACTGATGGACTTTGCTTAGCATTATGCTCTCTAGATCCATTCATGTAGTTGCAAATGGCAAGCGTAGAGGCCACTTTTAGGCAACAGGCCTGAGCAGTGGAAACTTGAGCAAGGCAGAAGGGCCCACAGTGACCGCTGACCTGATGCAAACAGGCTCATTAAGCCATAGCCCCTAACCAGGCACAGTGCCTAAGATTACCAAAAATGGTAAAATTCCGTAGTTTCCCATATTCCCTTACTCTCCTCTATAACTCTAGCCCCTCACCACCGCCTCATGGCAGTCTCTCCTTCGCTGTCTTGCCCACAGCTCCCTTGCCGTGTATTCAGTAAACTTCTGTCTCCTTTGTTCTGCCGTGGGTGAGTTCTTTCACCACCTTGCTGCGGGCCCCCACCCAATCCAGATGCCCCACAGCAAGATTTCAGTCATTTTTATGGCTGAATAATATTCCAGTGTGTGTGTGTGTGTGTGTGTGTGTGTGTGTGTATAAAACCTCTGATTTATCTGTTTACCTATCAGTGGACACGGGCCACTTCTATAATTTAGTTATTGTAAATAATGCTGCAGTAAACACAGGGATGTTGAATTAGTGCTTTTGTGGGGTTTTTGGGTAAATGCCTAGTAATGTGATTACTGGATCATATGGTAATTCTTTTTTTTTTTTTTAAGATTTTTTTATTTATTTGAGAGAGAGAGTGAGCAGGGGTAGGGGCAGAGGGAGACAGAGAATCCTTAAGCAGACTCCCTGCTGAGCATGAAGCCAGACACAGGGCTCGATCCCTGAGATCATGATCTGAGAGGAAATCAAGAGCCAGCCACTCAACCAACTGAGCCACCCACGCGCCCCATGGTAATTGCATTTGTAATTTTTTGAGGAATCTCCATACTGTTTTCCACAGTGGCTACACCAGTTTGCATTCCCACTAACAGTGCAAGAGGGTTCCTTTTTTTCCCCATCCTTGCCAACACTTCTTGTTTCTTGTGTTTTTGATTTTAGCCATTCTCTGACAGGTGTGAGGTGGTATCCCATTGTGGTTTTGATTTGCATTTCCCTGATGATGAGTGATGTTGAGCATCTTTTCATGTGTCTGTTGGCCATCTGGATGTCTTCTTTGGAGAAATGTCTGTTTGTGTGTTCTGCCCATTTTTAAATTGGATTATTTGTTTTCTTTGGTGTTGGGCTGTATAAGTTCTTTGTATATTTTGGATACTAGCCCTTTATTGGATAGGTCATTCGCAAATATCTTCTCCCATTCAGTCTTTTAGTTTTGTTGATTGTTTCCTTTGCTGTGCAGAAGCTTTTTATTTTGATGTAGTCTTAGTAGTTTATTCTTCCTTTTGTTTCCCATCCCTCAGGAGACAATAGAAAAATATTGCTGTGGCCAATGTCAGAGAAATTACTGCCTGTGCTCTCTTCTAGGATTTTTATGGTTTCAGGTCTCACATTTAGGTCTTTAATCCATTTTTAATTCATTTTTGTGTGTGGTGTAAGAAAGTGGTCCAGGTTTATTCTTTTGCATGTAGCTGACCAGTTTTCCCAACACCATTTGTTGAAGAGACTGTTTTTCCCGTTGCATATTCTTGCCTCCTTTGTTGAAGATTAATTGACCAGATAATGATGGGTTTGTTTCTGGGCTTTCTATCCTGTTCCACTGATCTATGTGTCTATTTTTGTGCCAGTGCCATACTGTTTGATTACTACAGCTTTGTAGTATAATTTAAAACCTGGAATTGTGATATCTCTGACTTTGTTTTTCTTTTTTAAGACTGCTTTGGCTATTACGGGTCTTTTGTGGTTCCATACAAATTTTAGAATTGTTTGTTCTAGTTCTGTGAAAAATGCAGTTGGTATTTTGATAGGGATTGCATTAAATCTGTAGATTGCTTTGGGTAGTATGCGCATTTTAACAATATTTGTTCTTCCAACCCATGAGCATGGAATGTCTTTCCATTTCTTTGTGTCGTCTTCAATTTCATTCATCAGTAGCTTATAGTTTTCAGAGTACAGGTCTTTGGCCTCCTTGGTTAGGTTTATTCCTAGGTATATTATTATTTTTGGTGCAATTAGCAATGGATTTTTTTTTCTTAATTTCTCTTCTACTGCTTCATTATTAGTGTATAGAAATGCAACAGATTTCTGTACATTGAAGGAAACAACACATGTTGGCAAGGATGTGGAGAAAGGGAAACCCTCGTATGCTGCTGGTGGAATGCAAGCTGGTACAGCCACTCCAGAAAACAGTATGGAGGTTGCTCACAAAGTTAAAAAATAGAGCTACCCTACAACCCAGCAATTGCACTACTAGGTATTTACCCAAAGGATACAAACCTAGTAATCCGAAAGGGTACTTGCACCCCAGTGTTTATAGTAGTAATGTCCATAAGAGCCAAAATATGGAAAGAGCCCAGATGCCATTGACAAAGGAATGGATAAAGAAGATGTGCTATGTATATATACATTGGAATATTACTCAGCCATCAAAAAAATGAAATCTTCCCATTTGCAGTGACATGGATGGAGCTAAAGTGCATTATGCTAAGCGAAATAAGTCAATCA